GGCTAAGCATGATTTTATTTTCAAAATGTGTATTTTATAATAATCGGTATTACCGATGTACCATGTAAATTTACAATTAGTGATTTCTCTACTCCCTTCATGAGTTTCGGGACTACTCTGAACATTTTCCGAAACCATACCTAAAAAGGAATTGAATTTTATTATGTTTATGCTAGGTAAATTTTTTCAAAAATTGTGCAAACCGTAAATACTGTGAAAGTTTCTAAGACATCAAAATATTCGTTTAATCCTGATTATTCACTGATTACAGAGTGATTGTACCTGGTTTATATATGTAATCAAAGTTATTACTTGTTGTATGAGATTTAGGATTCTGTTCGTGAAGATTTGAAGTTCACGAAGATGTAATGTAGGAAAAGCTATTCTTTTCAGACCTCTCTTGGTTCCAGGCACCTTATCACTTTCCGAAAGATGTAAGTCACTCACCAAATGTCTTTTATAAATTTGTGCGTGACTTGTATTGTCCAAGACTGGATTTCGCACTTGCTCGATCCATTTATTAAAAAGATCGGCATCATGTTTTGGAAATGTATGCCTTTTACTGATTCTATCAGTACAACCAGGCACCACGCACTTTTTAAATCCCTGCTTTCGTTATGCCTCCATTGCAATGATTAAGTTTGTGAATTTAAATTCAATTTGACGCTCAATAGATATCAGTATCACCGACACGAAACTAATAAAAACGCCGGTGCCGCACAAAATTCAACTTTCAATTCAAAATTACGAATACATCACTGTCAAAAAGAACGACTCAGTACTAACTATATAAGATTATTTGGTTGCCTACCTAACATACCTGCAAAGTCACTCATTTAACTTTCTTTATAAAGTAGGTGTTATGTGATTCCCCTTATCTAGAAATATCTGTCCACCAGTAGCTGTCCATAAATTAAAAATTCCACAATCAAACCATATGAAGTAAAGAAAAAGTGAGAAAGTTCATTCAAGTATCTCGGAATCCAAAGAAACTCATTGGACAATGCTTTATTGTGTATGCACCTATGGGACACAGCGAGCAACATCAATCCTTCCGCGGTTGCAGAAAGAGGTCCAGAGATTGATCGTCGACGGACTATACTACGTTTCCAAAGTGATTCAGCCTGACATCCCTTTCCATACCATCAAGGAAGAGTTCATTCAGTGTTAGATACAGTGGAGACATCAAAGCACATCGTAATATCGAAATAAGACAGCGCAAAGCGCCATCTATGACCAAAATCGACCACTGTGGAGAGTGTATAACAGGTAATTGTTGGAACTGTGAAGATTCTCAGTTCACATTTAATAGCCCAGTCGCCATGTGACCGCTAGGTGATTGACGATTCTGGCTGTATAGTAGATATGTGTACTTGCCATTGAACAGAGACGAGAGACCAAGCCTATATCATGCTGAAGAGTAGCCAAAAAGCACGAAACAGCTGTACGTGGTTGGATGTTTTTTACACCGTGATATGTTAGCAAGTCTGTTGAACGGTGAGATTCAAATTTGGCTGACGTCGTAATGCGTACGCCGATGGCTTTCGCAACGTCGTACTCGGGTTGCTAGGCAACGCGGTGCTTCTATGCTCTTCTTCTATCTCGTTCTAACACACGTTTTTTCATGCTTCTCGCGCTTATCTCTCGAACATAATTCGACGTCAATGGTATTTGGTTTTCAGTGTATATGTCTAAAATGAGCTAGTGAATAGATTAAAACGCTATTTGCCATCTGACTTCGTGATATGACTGAGATAATCTTAAATGATGTCATAAACGATTGATTTTGTATTAGCATTAATAGTGTACTCTATAAATAAATTATCCGACATAAAATGAAAACCCGTGGTGACATCTATGTGAATTTGTCTCAGCTGTTTCTCTATTCGCTATATATACTTAGGTTGGTGTCTCATAGATAGCGTTATAGCCAATTATACGAGCATAACGCAGCGCCATCTATGGGGAACAAACTTTTACCAAGTATATATAGTAAATAGAGAAGCTTATTGTGACAAATTATCGTAGATGAAGCTGCGAGTTCTCATTTAATCTCGGATAATTTTTTGAACACGGGAATGTGGCATTAGGTTGGCTATCTTCGATAGAGATCAGTTATGGCAGTAATACTCTTTAGGTTAGTCCGACAAGCTTTTTTCCAGAATTATATGAAAAGAAAATTGTTTTCTACTTTTTTATGAGCATTCTAAGATCCTGCCTATGGTATTTGGATACCTATTTCAGATCCAAATGGCGCCTATGAACAGAGTTAGCACATTTAGTAACCACATTCTATTTACATCTATGGTAATAGTAATTGTAAAGCGCTTTACTAAGAATTAGGTAAAACGGAAATCTGCGGTGGACTTACTAATTAGTTAATTGCTGTTAAGAGGTTCCAGCTTACAGTTATGCACAAATGGTTCAATTTTTATTACCACTTTTACGGTTTTTCTGAATGGCTTTGCGTTGAACGTTTGTAATTAGCATTAGATACATAATTTAGACTTTTTACGCGTTTCAGTTGCTCAATTTTTAAATACACAAGAAATGAGCCATATGAATAGCAAAACGCTATTACTTCCCATGCCACTGGCGAGGAAGCATTGTAGTCGTGAAAAATTTTGAAAATGAGATATTATGTTTTTTGGGTGTTATATGGCATGGCATCACGACAACTATGTCTCAACTCAATTACGTCCGTCTGACGCTATGTTTTCCCGCTAATCTTTGGACCGTCTAAAGGTTTTTCGAATTCTGTTCAGTGGCGGCGGAAGGACAATAAACGAACAAATAAAAACAGCTCAAACTTCGCTTTTTGAGGTTTCAAAGACTACTGAAATTTTTGTAGTGTTTAAAAATGGTGGGCCGGTGGGGGAGGGTATATCTCAATTTTTTTGCATTTCTATATTTAAATACCTCCAACCCTGGTAATTCTACGTACCTCCTAGACATTTTCACACGTCATGCATACATCTTCCCGTACATTTGTTCTTAAAACTTAAAACTATAGAGAAATATGTTCAACACTCGCGTCTATGGATATAACTCCGTCAGGGTCTCACCGATGGATGAAGGCGAATGGCAACGTTGTCAAATGGGTGGGGACTACAGATTAATTGTATGAGTCTGCTTAACTGACTTGATCCGTATATATTTTGTTTTATACATGGCCGTAACGTGAAAGTTGAAAAAATACGTGTTTGCGTTCTGTGAATGAAAAGACCTTCAAAATGAGACCTTATTCGTATTATATCCAATTTTCTGTTCTCGTCAATTCAATAAAATATTTAATGTCAATCACTACCAGGTATCAAATAGTGGTTATTATTACATATTTTTTTGCAATGATATGTAAAATAACTTTGACGTTTAATAAAAAAAACAGCATTTTTTTATCTTTAAAAAGAATCTTCCATTTACGCTCGATATTATACTCATAGTTCCATTGTAAGCTTCTTTCTAGATAGGAGAATTGATCGGCAAGTCAGTTAGGGACACAGAAATTATTAAGTATTAAGTTAGTCATTGAGTGCAATGGAAGTTATGTTGGATCTCCCACCGCTGGATCTGGTGATCCGCGGTGAAGCGGGAGTAGTCGCTCATCGACTGTGGAGTCAGGGCAGCTGGGCTTTCTTGAATCCTGTCAAGGGGCATACACCATCTTAGTCGAATTGCAAAGGGAGGGCCCCGTCCTTCTAAGCAGGGGTGATCGTATTACCCCTAAATATCGCTTCGACCGCAAGCTTATTGTGCAGTATCCAACGAGGGAGGAGTGGGACGGCTCTCCGGAGTGAACAGTGGTGCTAGGGTCTCTGAGCCTAGAACTAGGCTATCTCTGCCTCTCGGTCGATACACCACTATTTTCCAGGCGGAAATCTTTGCGATTCTGGCTTGTGTATCTCGCATCCTGGAGGAGGGTGGGCCTAGGAGAAGAATAACAATCTTATCCAACAGCCAGGCTGCAAAGAAAGCACTAAGTGCCTGTAAGATTACTTCGAGTCTTGTATTGCAATGCAGAAAGGCTCTGGATTGCTGCGCAGCGAGGCATCCGGTATCGCTAATTTGGGTACCGGGGCACGCTGGGGTAAAGGGCAATGATACGGCGGACGCTCTGGCGAAGATAGGATCAGCCAGCAAGCTCGTTGGTCCTGAGCCAGCTTTAGGAGTGACCGCGCATAGAGCTAGGAGGAAAATGGAGACGTGGATTGCAAGACAACACTCTCGGAAATGGAGAAGTATCTCCAAACATCTCCGCCAGGCACGGGAACTCATTGAAGGGCCCATTGCTAAGGATAACACATTCATTCATTCAAGTCAGTCAAACAGGTCCATACAATTAGACATTTTTTCTTGCCCTACTACTGGTTACCGTCCATGTGGGAACCTACTTCCTATCCACATCTGCGCGGCAACACTGCAATAAGTTATCTTTCGTTTCGTGCAAGTTCGGTGTATAGGCGTTCTGCGCTTCAGAACGGATAGGACCGGTTCTCCAGGCGGTGAACTTAGATAGGCAGATAATTATATGATGTGTGAAATATGACTAATAGGTACATAGAATTACCAGGGCTGGGAGCGTATAAATATACCAAAATATACTTAAAAAAATGCAGATACTCTTCCCCACCCCCTACAACCTCCAACCCCAAAATTTTAACCCCTACAAAAAGTTTTCTGAAAGTTTGAATGATTTTTATTTTTTTCGCTTTTTCGCCATTGGCGTGGCAATAACCTTGTGTGAAAATTTCATCAAAATCCGAAAGGTACTTCCCAAGCTTCAGAGGAGTCAAATATTATTAGAAAGACAGACAGAAGTGGTTTTTCGTGATGTCATATAACATCCAAAATATATCTCATTTTCAAAATGTTAAGCAATTACATCACTTCCTCGACCAGTGGCGCAAGAAGTAGAAATCAAACTTAACCTTCCGTATTAATAAAAAAATGTTTTTTCCAGAGCTGCATCAGAGAAGAAGAAAAAGCACATCAAACGGCCTATGAATGCGTTCATGGTTTGGGCGCAGGCAGCTAGAAGGAAGCTTGCCGATCAGTATCCGCATCTTCATAATGCGGAACTGTCAAAGAATCTGGGAAAGATTTGGAGGTGAGCAAAATTCATATGCAAAGCTTAAGCTATATTGTAAGATTAAACTAGATCTCAAGCTTATATTATGCACTCAACAAATGCATACATATGTATGAGGCTACCTACTAGAACAAACTTTTAAGTTCAGTGGAAATATGTTTTACGTTCATTCATGAACAGCGAAAGAAACTTAATACTGAACCATGAATGAAATGTTTGGCAGACATTAAAGATAAGTTGTGGTAGCGATAAAACAGAATTGTAGGAATCAGAACACGCTCTTGACATTGGCATCGAGACAAAACACTGTAAAACAATAGTGAAATATAATGCTAAAGAAATAAGTCTTGTTTTCCTGCTTCATAAGTGAAAATAAAATTGCAAGCTTTATCGATGGTTTCTCTTTCTGATCCACAGAGCTTTTCTTTGGCCTAACCAAAGTTTTAGAGCTTAGGGCCGTATCGACAGTCGTTCTTACAATTGTAGGGACGACGTACAATACGGCCCTTAGTTTTGGGCTTTAACGGAGTATGCTCCTATATACAGTGAAATCCACTTATAATGAACTTGCTTACAGTGGAAACCTGTATATAATGGACACAATTTAAGGTCCTATAAATAATTGCATGTAAAATTCTCGGATATTATAGACTCGCTTAAAATAGACCCTCGCGTATAGCGGACTATTTTAATCCATTATATGCGAGCTATTTTGGTAGTTCTCCGAAACAGATTTAGCTGATGCAATCATTTACTGCGGTTTGGCTTCGCAGTTTCCATTGGAACTTGGCCACCAGTGTTATTCGAGTTATAAACATGTCGAAAAGTGCGAAACGTGCATTCACTTTACACGAAAAGTTCACAATAATTAGTGAGCTTGAGCAGGGTTCATCTCAAGCAAATATATGTGCTCGTATGGCTATAAAAAAATCCACTGTGTCAAATATTTGGAAAAATCGAGACAAAATAAAAAATTACTCGAAATCAAATAGTCGCAAGAAAAAAATGCGGCTATCGATGCATCCCCAAGTCCATGATATGCTGTTTAAATGGTTTCAACAAAAGCGTGCTAATAATTTTCCAATAAGTGGACCTATGCTACAAATAAAGGCTGAAGAATTTGGGAAATTGATTGGAGATTACTTCAAATGTAGCTTCTCTTGGCTAGACAGGTTTAAGAAAAGACATAACATTGTTTTTGAAAAAAATTGTGGTGAGTTAGCAGTCAGCTTCAGTTGACAAGAACGTTATCAGTGACTGGATTTCTCAAGTTTGGCTCGTAAATCCAGTGATTATTCAGATGATAACGTATTCAATGCAGATGAGACCGAAATATTTTATAGAATGCTGCCAGATAAAACTCATAAATTAAAAGGTGAAACTTGCAATTAAGGGAAACTATCAAAAGAGCAAAAGCTGTTATGATTCGTGCTATTGCTTCTGGTACTGAAAAATGGACACTATTGATAATAGGTAAGTGAATTAATAGAAATTCATGTTCTAATTGATTTGATATTCAATGGCAGTGCTGCAAAGAATTTATGACCTTTTTTATTTCAGGGTAATATAAGAATCCCAGGTGTTTCAAAAATGTTAAAGCAATTCCCGTCGATTATGTTGGAAATAATATAGCTTGGATGACTTCATAAATTTTCGAAGAATATTTAAAAAAGTGGGAAGCTGAACTTGTTAAGAAAAATCGTAAAATTTTGCTCTTGGCCGATAACTGCCCTGCTCATCCAAATATTTCAGTTAATAACATCAACCTTAAATTTTGTCCACCCAATCTGACATCAGTTCTGCAACCAATGGACCAGGGTGTCTTTTGGAGTCTTAAACAAATGTATCGGAAACATATGTTGATGAAAATTATGGAGCTTCAAGAAGATGTCAACATTACCAAAGCTGACACCATTTTAGAAGCTATAAATTTGCTTACTATTGCACGGGAATTTTTTACTCCAGAAACGATTCGTAATTGTTTTCGCCATGCTGGTTTAGTGGAAAACATAACTGAAATAGTCAAAGATTTTAATCCAGAAGATGAAATTCCATTAAGTGATTTACTGAAAATTAATAGTTTACTGAATATAGACAAATTTAATGAGTATCTATGCAAATGTTGACAATAATTTAATAGCAACACAGGAATTGTCAGACTCCAATTTGGTTAATGAAGGATCCGTTGATAACGAACAGGAAGATGAACTAGAAAACAACGACGAAGAAGAGCTTAGAGTGACAACTAAAGAGGCATTAGACTGCATGAAGAAGTTGCAAAGTTATTTTCAGCAAGAAGACAGTACAGTCACACTTACCAAATTAAATAAAATTCAACTTGCTGTTCTAAATAATTATACAAAAAACAATCTGTTCAAATGAAAATTACTAGCTTTTTTACAAAATAATTTACGGTTTTACATATACCTACACAGCACGTATGCCTGTAATAGGTGTATCAGATTCTGAAGAAAAGCAAATTTGATAATTACGTATAACTTTTTTGTATGTATCTAGTGCATGTTAAACAAACACATTTTAAGCTTTTAATGTTATTTTTGCTGCTTTTTTCATTAAAAAAATTGTTCCTTATAAGATGGTCATCCGCCTATAATAGACATTTGTCACAGTCCCGCCAAGTCCAATATAAGCGAGTCGCACTGTATTATATATTATCCTGAGTCTTTCTACCACTCTGTCGTGTAAAACGTTAAAACACATTACAAATTACATTTATCACACCGTAGTACTCTACTCAAATTTTCTCCACCTCTTGTTTTGTGCCAGTTTTTGTGCGATTCTCATGTCAAAACCTTTATCATTCACTGCGTCCTCGAATAAATACCAAGTTATCTTCAGCCTGCCCGTTGTTCTTCTGGGTAAAGTCTTCGCGTACCACATGGCTTTTACTTGTCGACGACTCTTGATTCTACTTATATGACCATTTTATCTGGTTCTGTTTAATGACCTTCAAGACTAATAATAATAATAATAATAATAATAATAATAATAATAATAATGGTTCATTGGTGCTATTGCACAGAACGTGCCTACACAAGTCAATATAATAGAAGCGCTCAGTTACAAGAAGAAAATAAATGACAAACAATACATATAATAACAAACAGTACAGATTACACACACTTAAATATGGTTAAGAGGAAGACAATAAAAGTATAAAAGATAAAATTATTACAAACTACGTTCAAATCAATAAATAAATTTCATAAAAGATAAAACTGAAATAAATATTTTATACATGGTTCGAATAAGTAGCAAAAAAAGGAAATGTAGCTTGAAATATAACTATTGAGTATCCGTGGAGAAGTTGTGGTTGAGGAACTCGTCAATGGTGAAAAAGCAGCCGACAAGACCAATTTTTTCACAGCATTACTGAATTCATTCTATGCTAGTGATCTTAGTTCCTTAGGTAAAATATTATAAAATTTTATGCCATGGCAGTTAACTTCATTCCTTTTTTTAGCAAGTCTATGTTGTTTTGGGTACAAGTTATCTTGGTGTCGGGTATTATATGAATGAGTTTCATGGTGGCTTGTATAAAGGTCAGGATTTGACTTGACATGCAAGAGGCAGCTCAATATACAGGGTTATCCAAATTAAGTGTCCACCATTAGTAACTTTGTTATTAGTGAAAATACAAAGTTGTTTGAATTAGCAAACTAGTAGCATTTTTAACGCTGGTAAAAATGAGAAATAAAAAAAAACAATTGAGAGTCGTTATTTTGATTTTTTTCAGTAAAATAACATTTTTTTAAATGGAAACCCCTGTATATTATATTTTTTTCTGTTAAAGCATCAAATTTTAAACAAAAAAGTTCATAATGACTTTTCCGCTAAAGTCAAAAATAAAGTCAAAATAACGATAAATATTTTTAATTATTTGCAGTATTATAATATTAAGACGGCTATGAAAACAACATGGCGTTCGCGATTTGACAGCATTAAGATAAGCGACAAATTGTTAAACTGGACATACTCGCAACTAGAAGGCTTTGGAAAACAATGATAAAATCAAAGAATGTCAAACATTAGTGTAAATACTTGTTTATAAGCTTTATTGTGTCATTAATTTAAAGAAAAATGTTCTCCCATGAAGAAAAGTGTGATATGTTAGAATGCTATTTAGTGTGCAGAAAATCCTCCTTGAGAGCAAGAGAATACTACAGTGAATTATATCCCGCTCGCATTCAACCGTATGAACGATATTTTCTGAGACTTTATCGAAAATTTAGGGGCAACGAAAATGTTTTTGCTAAAACAAGGGCAAAAAAAGAATTCATAATAAGCGAGGCCACGGAAATTGCAGTTATTGGATATTTTGAAGCTTATCGTGAGAATTCAATAGCAGATATTCTCAAGGACTCTAATTTCAGTTATGGTACTGTTCAAAGGATTTTCAAAAAATACAAATTTATTCCGTATAAGAACCGACCAGTTCAAACGCTTTTGGCAGGGGATCCAGAGAGAAGACTTGTTTTTTCCCATTGGTATCTTAGCTTCTGTCGCCAAAATGTAAATAACTTTCGTTACCTTTTATGGACAGATGAATCAAATTTTTCAAATTCTGGAATGTTTAATAGAAAAAACCACCATTATTGGTCAAGAGAAAATCTTTTGTTAGTACATCCAAGAGGCCCACAAGTCCGTTTCAGTTTCAACGTTTGGTGCGGTATAATTGGTTCAAAAATTGTTGGCCCGTTCTTTTATGAGGGAATCCTAACTGGTGAAAGATATGTGGAATTTATGTCAGAAATTCTGACTAATTTCTTAGACGAATTGGATCTTATAAGTAGACATCATCTGCATTTTCAGCAAGATGGCGCACCTGCCCACAACTCCAGAGGTACTTATCATTTTCTAAGTACTACTTTTAATGATCAGTGGATAGGAACAAATGGCCCAATACAGTGGCCTCCCAGATCACCAGATCTAAACCCACTTGATTACTTCTTGTGGGGTTACTTAAAGAACCAAATTTACAAGCGAAGGTACGATAACCTT